ACTTTCGATCTATTATCACTAGGGCTTGGAAAATATGTACTTAAAAATGGTCTAAATATGTATGCAGTTATGCGTTAACAATAGACAAAATATGCTTTTAAATATTCAAAGTAAAAAGACAGTCATTTTTGATATTTCAATTTTAATATAGACTTTTTAAACATATGATTAGATGATTTTACATTTCTATCAATTACATCTAATTAATTATTATTATAAAAATGAAAACAGTGAGTTAATTAATATTTTTCAATGTTTTCAACAGTGAAACATTGCCTTCTATCACTTAAAAGATGTTTGTATGCCGGAAATGAACGTTCCACTTCACAAGACGTTGTAGGTGCATATTTAAATTTTAAAATTAAAAGTGGTGAAATATTTGAATCCATTTTATTATTAAAGTTGCCAGATAAAACATTATTTATACCCTCTAATGTCTGAAATCCTTTATTATTTAGTAAAACTGATTTAAATTTTCGTATAACATTATTTTCCATTAACACAGACTGTTTAATAAAAGATTTTAAATTTTTAACTGTTTGTATGCTTTCAAATAATGCCATACCTCGAGATTCAAGCTTAGTTATGGCTGTGACTATGCATGTATAATTTGCTTGAATGTGGACAATATGGCTATAAATTATAGGATCGTTAAAAATATCGATGCATTTTTTAATTGCAATTGAGTCTTCTGGGTCAAAGTCGCAGATGACATCTTTAATTACGTTAAAATTTGTCGCAATAAAAGTAACATAGTTTAACCAAGTGCCTCATCGTGTTAAAACTGGTTCTGGTGGCAATGGAATTCCTGGTAAACGATTCTTATAAAATTGAAACCGAAGAGGAGCTTTTACAAAAATCTTTTTAATATTTTTAATTAAATCATTTACGAGTGGAAATTCATTCTTAACCATCTCAGTCACCCTATTTAAACCAAGTGCTAAGTATGTGCAATGGATTAAATTCGACTAAAATATTTTTAAGTTTCCAGCTGCTTTTACCATGTATGCAGCAGCATCAGTGACCATTAATAAAATATTGTTTGTAGGCATTTGTCTAGGTAAATAAAAATTTGTTAACGAATCGTTAATAAATCTGATTATCGTTAAATTATTTGTTTTGTCTTAAACTTTAACTGCAATTAAATATCCTTTACCAGGGATATTTTCATCTAGTGCGCCTATTATAAAATTTGCAATATAGCGCCCCTGCGTATCAGTTGATTCATCAACCGAAAACCACACAGGTTTATCGTTAATTTCATTTTTTATATAATTTAATGCGTTATCGAAATTAACTTGAACGTATTTTTTGCGCAAAACGGAAGAATTGGGTAAATTTTCTTCCTTAAAATGAGTTTTAAAAAATTTCTAAACAAAGGATTATTCAATTTGTGAATTGGAATATTACAAGATACAAATAAATTGCACAAATCTCTATTAAAATTGTCCTGATGATAAGAAGTGGTTCCTTGGTCTGTTATTAACTGTTAAATCAATCGGTTTGGAAGTTATTTTCTGGATAAGTGACTTGTTGTTCCTAAATGTTAATCCACTTGAAATTGTAAAAGATTTTCTTTTTAAATCCAAAAATACGTGAATTTTTATATATAAAAATAAAATCTAGATGATTTTCAAAAAATCTGGGTTGTAGAAAGAAGCTTTTGAGTGAAAATAAAAAAAAACGTTTCCGTATTTAAAAAAAAAGAAAAACTATTATATTGTTGATTTTTTTAAAAATTACATGAAATCCGAATAAACAATTTAGTATAGCTCTTATATCATATCTTGATTTTGTTTCTTTTTACTTCTAAAATAGGATTCAGCTTGCTTTGAAAAAAGTTAATAGTGTGAAAAATACAACAAAAATGTTAGTTTATCGCAGGTGGAGCAAAAAATGTAATTATACAATTCTTAAATCACTTTTTCCATAGATCCATTTCTTTATAATTTCATAAATTGTTCATAAATACAATAAATATCGTTGCCTAACTTTAATTTTTAAGTACCTACCTCTGTTTTCAATATAATTAACTAATTTATTTAATAATAAAAATCTCTTTAAAACATTACGCTTACTTAGTTACTTGATCTTTTATTTGTTATTCATTGCCAAAATCCCGACTCTATATAACATTTTTAGATTTTGAGATCACACTATTTAACAGTCTATAATAGCCGTGGAGAAAGTATAGTCTTCAACTCGCATAGAATATGGCTCTTATTCTATACTCGTTGAAGAATATGCTATTCTTACATGTGTTGTTTAAGAGAGTAATTATCTTGACAAATATAGAATTCATTAAAATATTTTACCCTCTAACCTAAATCTTTATTTTGTATTTGATAAACTGTATAACTTTTGTGAAATCTTAAATTTCTCAGTACTTATTACACCATAACCACTTTTCTGTCATAAATATTGATTCAATCTGTTTTTTGTTTAATTGATAATCTATTTTAAGCTTGAAACAGTCCAAAGCCGGCTCTGGACTATATTATTCAGAAGACTACGTGTGTTGTGACAGATTTTGGTTTATTTTTTATTTCGTGAGTATTTGTAGGTATGTTTTTGTGCTTGTTCTTGGAATGCATTAACCAATGATAAATGATGGCCTAGAAATGATGTAATGGTGTTTACTTTGTATGTTTGAGATTTTTAACGTTTTTGCATGAATTACGTCGGTGTGAAAGGGTTTTGTATCATTAATTTTCCATATGCAGAATAAAAAACATGTTTTTTGTGTTTATACCTAGATAATATACAGGGTACCCACAATATAAAATCTTGTTAATTTTCTAGCCAATTTGAACTATTTAAATTAATAATATAGGCAATATTATAAATAATTCAATCTTTGGATTTATTAGTCATATGTTCGAATAACACCATTAACCTTTTTATTAATAATAAAAATCAAATTAATTAATTTGATATTTTCAACAATAAACGTTGAATAAAGCAAAATGAATCAAAGACAAAAACTAAATTTCATTTTACAACGAGCCACAGATCCCACAAAAAACTTCTTTGTATTCCTACTGTCTAATAAAACACTTTTGTGAAGTCTCTCGATCACTACCTTTATCTAGTTTCAAAAGAATCAAGGGCACATTGGTCTAAATGGATAAGGCAGTCGGACCAAATTCTTCAGATTTGATCCAACGTAATCAATCACGCATTTTTAAAATTGTTCCAAAATGGCAAAAAAAGGTAATATAATAATAAACTTTATTTACGAGGGTCATTCAATAAGTAAAGAGACAAATTGCTATAGCTCAAAACTGGTTTATTTCAATCTTTCAAAATTAAGGCTATTTTTCAACATAATCACCCCTCACAGTTATGCACTTGTTTCATCTTTCTTTCAGTTTCCTAATTTCCTTGGCGAAGAATTCTTTCGATTTACCCTGAAGCCACTTTTACACCACTTCCTTAACTTCCTCATTCTTAGCAAATCTTTTTCCACGTAGGGCGTCTTTAAGTGGTCCAAACAGGTAAAAATCAGATGGGGCAAGGTCGGGACTGTAGGCAGGATGAGGTAAGACTTCCCAACCCAATTCTTAAAGCTTATCACGGGTCAGCTGGGCTGTATGAGGGCAAGCGTTATCGTGCTGAAGAATGACTCCTTTTGACAAGAGTCCACGGCGTTTGCTCCTGATAGCGTCTAACTTGTGTTCTAGTATCTCGGAGTAGTATTGGCTATTGATAGACTGGGCCCTGTGAATCCCAAAAGATAGGCAGCATCACTTTACCGGCGGAAGGTTGAACCTTTAATTTTTTACGAGAACTAGTGTGTTTCCACTCCATACTCTGCCTTTTGGTTTCAGGGTCGTAGTGATGGTTTCAGACCTCGTCGCTGGCCACTATTCTTTTAAAAAAAGGGTCTCCTTCAATCAAACTTCGTTGCTTTAAGTCTTCACTAATGGAAAGCCTTGATTCTTTATGAGCGTCACTAAGCTGTCTGGGAACCCATCTGGCACACGTTTCTCTGTACTTTAAATTGTTATGAATGAAATTGTAAACATTTCCAATACGCACTTAAACTTCCTCAGCTATCATTTCAACAGTAATTCTTCTGTTATCACTAATAAGTCTGTTTAACGTTTAGGTTGTTTGGTCTTTTGACAATTACAGCATAGCCCGGAAAAACATGGAAAACTGCTGATTTACGGAAAAGATGACGTTTTTAAAAACTTTTTGACATTTCAATGAAACTTTTTGGTGGAGAAGGGGTTTTTATAAATAATATATTGTGTAGGAATTCTTTCTTTAGTTTTCATGTTTTTTTTTTATCGGGAAAATAGCTGGAAAATGAAATATTAGTTCCATATTCCTATATTTTTTTTTATTTGTAAATGTTGAACTTAACACAAAACGAAAACAAACAAATCAAAAATTTCCAAACAACGGCATTTGTAATCAATAGCTTTCTTCTTCATCTTCACCATCCTCATGTAGTATATCATTGAAGTTAACTAGGTCTGGCTCATCTCCACCTTCAAACTCATCTGAATGATAGCTTTCCATAACATCGGTTAGTTCGGGCGGCAACGAATCCTCTTATATCCAATCAACCTTCAGTTGTCCATTTTCCAATTTCCAGCCATGCTCCACTGGACTTGGTGCCATAGATTTAGCGACGTAGGCATTATTCCATATGTAGCACTGGTAGTTTACCCGACTAATATAGTTTTTAAGAGAAGCTTTGCAAGGAGTTAATAGACCGAGTTCAACACCTTGTGTATTTGGCAACGCTGAGGTCACTGTAGGAGAGTATTTGTGTGTGAACAAATCATACCGTAGCTTATTTATATCTGTGTATCCTTTACCGCTGTACAAGTAACCTGTCGGTAACTGTAACTGTAAGTGATGATCCTAATGACCTAAGAATAGGCACGAATTTAGAATATTTTTCTAATTTAGATTTTACTGACAACTTTCCACGACGAACAAAAGAACTGGTAGTGTCACATCCGGATAGTGCATGCATGTTTAACCTAATTTCCAGAAATGTTGATGATATTAATGACCCTTCGTTTGTTTTCAACTCCTGTATCAAACAGTAACACATTTTCAATTTCGTTGGCGTAACTTAACAGGACCATAAAAACATTTGTATCTGGTAACCTAATTCTGATAGGCAATTTATTTTGACAAGATTGAGAAGCATGGAAGCAACATAAAATAATTTTAGCACCCGTTTCCTCTTGTGAAGAGCATAGCTTTTCTTGTACAGTATAATTTACAGTTGAACCGTCTTCGCTAGTAAACAACGTGCATTGATCGTTGAGTGATAAATAAAGTTTTTTACCATACAAATGATGGGCATAATTGTCTTGTTTCCAACGATGGTAAAAATCATGGTCTTCATCGAGATCCACTGGCACTTGTTTACACACAGTTTCCAATCTATTACCTTCACTGGATTCTTTTAGTCGCACTTCAACACACTCACGAACTTTTTGAAATGATTGAGCGAAAAATGATCGAAGAAGAATATTGCCTTTATTGTTTTCATTAAAATTAATTATGCATCTCTTCTCCTGTGATGTTGTTAATGCTCTATTTCACCGCTTTAGACTTAAAGGGTTTTCATCACACATGATTACAGTTCACCTGAAACAAAAATTAATTATTTGGAAAAGGTTAATAAAAATATAAGAACTTTTTTTCAGTTTTCCGCGGTTTTCCATGTTTTTTTGGACTATGCTGTAATTGGCATGAGGCAAACAACTAAAACCTTAAACTACATGGCAATACCAACCAAAAAATATGTGGCTCACAAATTCCCACGGAGGGGGGATTGGGGTTATATACGAGCATTCGCTCTATTATTCTGAATTTGTTCGGCTAACTTTTATCCTAAACTAGTAAATTTATTATTAAAATCATTAGCTATTTCTTGGTTACCTGTTAATAAGTGTTCGTTGTCGTTTGCAATAAGGTTAATCTTAAATTTTGTTGGTTTTCCCCTGCACAACTTTTTCACCGTGTCCCACAAATATTTACTGTTATTTTTGTTTGCCTCTAGTTGTTTATAGTATTTTTTTTTTTAGTTTTTTTCTTCTTTGATTTGTAAGAATATTTTTATAAGCGTTATATTTTCAGGGTATTTATTAAAATTTTTAAACATTTAATTTTTCTTATTAATCATTTTTAATAAACTGTTTGTGAATCATGATGCAACAGTTGTATTTCTACGCCTACATAATTTTTTTTTCAGTACAGGCATTAATTATATTTTTCAATTCTCTAATTAAATTGTTTTTTGCAGTGTTTGGGTTCTCTGCTGAGCAGACAGAGTTCCAGAACATATATTGACATGATTTCACTGCCTTTTCATAATTTATGAATTCTTTTTAACAATGATTGTTTTGTTCTATTTCTATAACTATCTAAAGTAAAGTTGTATCATGATCAACAGTTGTGGTTTTTTAGTACAATAGGAATTGTCATATCGACAGCATTAATGTTTTTATCTTTGAAAAAGATATGATTCAATCATGTTTTTTATCTGGTAGCTTTATTTATCATTGACCGTACCCGTACTCATGTAATATATACTCTAATTTGTGATCGTTATTGTCTAGTATATTTATATTTATATCGCCAATAAAAATATTGTATTTGTGAGTATTTGTTTGATTTTCATTAAAATAATCGTATAACGTCTGCAAAAAATAATTCACATTGAATGCAGGCGATCGATAGCAAGCTGTTATAGATATATTTATTTGTCCAATTTCCACTTTTAAAAAGTTGTTATGATATTATGTGTAAAGGAAAGATTATTTTTTACATATATTACTCTACTATCATTTTGATTATATTGTCCTTAATTAGAAATTAAATTATATATTAGGATCTGCTAGTTGCCAAGTTTCTGTTAGTATTAGAATTTTAAATTTATCAATGTTCTTACTTATACTTCTTATATTATTTTGTAATCATTATTAATATTTAAAATATGATTACATTCTTTATGAATCATACTCCGAAGTTTTATTATTTTTAATTTGATAATAAAAGAACTTCAAGGTCATAAATAGGACATGACTAAATAATGTAAGGGCATGCTACTAACAATTCTGACCCATTGCTGGACCTAAGAGGTGAGGACCTTTTTTAAGCTCCTCAATCTAAAGATTTTCCACATAATTTTTTTTAGTTTCTCAACCAAAAGATAAACATAAGACAACTTACTGTCCAAGTCCTGCTATTTGCTATGTTTAAATGTTTGACTTTTGGTACAGACGTAACCTCTCGAAGGGTGGGGGGGGGGGGATGGTTGTACCATGACGTTGCTCTGCTTATGGTCATAAATAAAAGGCACATTGATTGTAAGAATTTTAATCGTTGGGGGAGAGGGTTGATATAGCTTCTACTATCTTTATCATCATTTTTATTATTACTATTAATTATTATTGTTTCAGGAATCAAATTCAAAAGGACTCATTGCATAAGTAATGTAAGTACTCTTTTCTTAACCTTTTATTATTACACCTTACTATATTTTACATTTTTGGAGCAATAAGACATTGACTGGTTGGATTAAAATTAGCGCTATTGGAGAAAAAACTATTGTCCACCTAAGTTGCGCATTTCGACCGAAGCGCGGTTTGTTTGTCTTGTGAAGGACCTCTTCTGTTTTCAGAAGCACAGTATAATGCCATTCTAACTTCTCTTGCCAATCCTACTTACACAGTGTATTATGGTTTTTTTCCTAGACTAAGTGCCAGTTCGTTAAGTTTTAACGACTTAAATGAATCAAAACGGCTGTGTTTTGTTGTTGTCGTTTTTGGAGTGCAGGATATTTACTGAAAAGAAAAGATAAGTCCTATTTTTGATGTGTAAATTAAAAAGCTTCTGCCACAAACGATATAAAATTACTCCTTTTCCCCTTTTTTTTTAATGTAATTATTTTGTAAATCACTTTACATACCAAATCGCCACAAAATATCTCCAATAATATCCACATTCACATCGATCACCCTAATTTTATTCATGGCTCGTCAGATTTATAAATCTAATTCGAGCGATAAGTTGGCGTTATTTATCAGTGGCGTATTCCAAAAAAAGAGAAATTTTGATCTATATTTTGTGGTTAGTATAATTATTCATCAAAATATTAGTGTAAATAGGCAACAGAGATCAGTTTGAAGGTTATCTAAATCAATTTAAAAAATCATTTGACACATTAAGCATGAAACAATTTAAGGAAAATAGAAATGTTTCCAGAAGTTTTCAAAATTGCAAAAATGGCGACATATGTAAACCATCCAGTTATGGTCTAACAATTTTACAAAAATTTCAGAAAAATTGTAAAAATTAGACTTGAATCATTTTTGAACAGTAATAAAATATTTTCAAAGAGCAGTTCTGTTTCCAAAGCAACAAATCTACTGAGGATGCTATAGCAGAGGTTATAAAACACATCAATAATCCAGGGTTAGTAATTAATAGCGGATTTTGCCAAGGTATTTGACACTATTGATCATTAGGAGTTGTTGAAAGCCTTGACAGATGCAGGAGTTAGGAGTAGTTCGTTTATAGATGATGTAGCAATATTAGCAAAGAATCCAAATTTTTAAAAGAACACGAAATATTCAAATTAGATACATAAATAGCACCTCTTATACAATTAAAAAATTTTACAAATAGAAACGTTGAATTAGGTGTTCCTAGATATGTGACACTGTGATCTTTAAAAACGCATTAGTTTAAAACCAGTTACTAAAAATGTCTACAATTCGCAAAAATCATACAAAGTAGTTGTAGAAATAGTTTGTTAAAGACAGCAGTACTGTTTACTGGTTTTAAAATTGCAGGCTGATAAAGTTGAATTGTGTATTCCTAGAAATGTGACACTGTGATCTTTAAAAATTCATTAGTTTAAAATCAGTTAATAAAAAAGTCTTTAATTCACAGAAATCATACAAAATAGTTGTAGAAATAATTTGTTGAAGACAGCAATACTATTTATTTACTGGATTTAAAAAAGCAGGCTGGTAAAGTTGAATTATGTGTTCCTAGAAATGTGACACTGTGATCTTCAAAAATTCATTAGTTTAAAACCAGTTACTAAAAAGTCTTTAATTCGCCGAAATCATACAAAACAGTTGTAGAAACATTATGTTGAAGACAGCAATACTATTTATTTACTGGTTTTAAAATAGCAGGCTGGTAAAGTTGAATTATGTAATCCTAGAAATATGACACTGTGATCTTTAAAAATTAATTAATTTAAAACCAGTTACTAAAAAGGTCTTTAATTTGCATATATCATACAAAGCAGTTATAGAAACAATTTATTAAAGATAGCAATACAATTCTTTAATATTGATAAATTAAATACACAGCTAGTCTCAAGAGAAATTCCTCAGGAACCTATTTTATGACCTCAACTTCTATTGTATACTTTCTTTAGTGGTTTGCAAACAGTTGTAGAAATAGTTTATTGAACACAACAATACAATATCTTCAATAGTTTTAAAATGGAACAGTGATATTATGCTTTTCTAGAAATGAGACATTGATATGTTTTAAAAAATATTAGTCAGTAAAAGAGTCTAAAATTCTCAGAAATTATCAAAACAGCTGTAACTGAAAAAACAAATGGTGCATCACCAACGACGGATACTAAGAGAGTATAGGAGGTAATAACACCGAAATTGATAACAAAATTTTCTATATTTATGATTTATTTTTTATTATATTTTAATCATAAATCTTAAGTGCTTTTATTTTATTTTTTAAATGGATAAATATATTAGAGAATTTCAGACTGATACTTACAATTACAGACTAAATATTAGATTATCCCCCTGTAACTTTGTTAGGAGTCAGTTTTTGATATAGATAAATATAGCCAAATCCACTTATTTTTTGGTAATCTCTCTGAGGAAGAATTTATTACATACTATTTTGAAACAACCTGTATATAATATAATTTTTCACTTGAATTCTGACTTTGTTATAAATAAAATTCAACTAGAAATCTAAACTGGTCTCACGGTTCGTAAACAATACGGTAGTCCGGTTGCTAGGGACAGGTGTGTGATGTCACACAATCTTATATTTTATTATTATTCAGTGGTGTTTATATTTTTATTTTTTGTATTTTTTTCAGTGTTATGGTTTTTATAATATTAGTCCTTTGATTTTTTAGAGGAATTAGCTACAAAACAGCAAACCTGTAATGATTTCCATAAAATTTCAAATTAATTACTTTTCACTTGAATTACAAAGGAAAATATTATATGATTGGTTTATTTTAAACATTATAAACATAAAAATCACTAAATAACAATATTATATTAGATTTTTTTTAATTTAATGTATACAACACAATATTTTCTGCTTACTCATTTCGTCATTCCTTGACGTCACTCCGTACTTAGCATTTCATATTCTTACTAGAATGGATACCTATTAAATTATATTCATTTAGTAAACCGAAATTGTATACTTATTTGTTCTGTAGTTTGTTCAAAAAGTTGAAACTTATATTCGTTAGGTAGTGGCTTAATTAGAAGCAGCACCT